CAAAAACTCAATTCAGACGTCAACTTCACCGGTATGTTCTTCGATAGAGGTATGGTATACGCCATCGGCAACAGTCCACTCGACAGTCAGCGCGAGTCCTATGTCTATATGTTGAAAGTGATGGGAACCGGACGTGAGCTCATCCCACTTGTAAGTGATGTCCACTTTTGGCATTTGAATTGAAAAAACTTATTTAAACTGAATTCTCATTAAGAATCAAACGGTTAGAAAGTTCTTCCGATGCCAACAGTTTAATCCATCGACAGACATACCGTCGATGACCGCGAGTCTGACAGCAAAACCAATGCCTATAACTAATTCGACGACCGTTTCGTCGGTTAAACAAAGCGTTGAACCAAATGATAAAAAACCGCTAAAATATATAATAATCACAACTATTGTATTGTTTGGTCTCTTTCTTCTAATTCTTCTGATGATTATTGTTTTCGTTTCACTTAAATCTAAAGGTATTTCGAGATTTGCATTGAATGTGTGATTATTTGATATTTATTTCTAATAATTGTATTCATTATTAGGAAATGTAAGTACTTTGAAAACTGACGAAAGGCCTACGAGTTCTGTACAAACCGGTGAATTGAATTCAGAGATCAGTCGTCCCGTCATTTCCACAGCAAATAGTGAGACGAACCGCTCGGTCAGCAAAATTCCTTAAATGTTCACTAATTAAATGACTGAACACTACATTTACTGTATTTATTTTGTATTAAAATTTGTTCATTTAATAAAAGTTTAAATTTTATAAACAAAAGTATTATAAGTATTACTGTACATTATAAAAAGTGTATTATAAAAAGCACACAAATATAAACAATTAAATAATACTTTTATTTGGAGACAAATAATCAAAATCTCAATCAATCTGTTATTAATTTCACGCGGAATTCAATACATATTAAAATTTAAAATTAGCCGTCATTTCACTGATCACTGAATTCTATGAGAAATACAACTAATTTTGATATTAAATCTCATTTCAAACCACAAGACATACAATGAAAATGACTATTTTAGCCACAATTATCGCATTATCAGTAGTGATGTCACCAACAGTTGGTCTCCCATTTTGCGACATCAAATCGTATGACAGTGTCTTCAATATCGGACACTTGATTCACTTCATGAGATGCGGACAGATCTACACCTATGATCCGCGAATGAATGGCGGAATCGGAGGCTTTCTTCGGGACTGGACTCTCTTCGCTTACGGCCGCCACTGGTTTGGAGGTCTGATCACACCTTTCAAATGTTTTTGCATCAATTGTTTTCTCTATTAATGGCATAAAATTTTAATTATTTAGAGAATATAATCAAAGCGAAGGGCAGATACGACGACGAATACCTCCGCTTCAACGGCTTCTCTTTCCAAGAGATCAATTGCATCACATCTGCCGAAGACTTTAACCGGACGTGCTATCGATCGGCTCAGGGCTGGGATCGGTTGACCGTCTTGTTTGACAAAACGTCTGCCATTCCTTTCTATTACAATC